TTGGAGACAGTATTATTATGACCATGAGTGCTACGAGGAAAGTACGGTCTTACAGACAAACATATTATCAAATGTATTAATCCCCAATTTATAGTTATTATTATATATTAATTATAATGAAATAACATCTAACAACTCAATAACAACTTTAACTAATAGCAAAGCATGTGGGTCCCTGAGCTTATTATTATTTTTATGATTTTATGCCTTTATTAGATAGTGATAGTGGAGAGATGACAAGAAATGAGAGTGAGAGAGAGACATGCAACAAAAGTCCCCGCACTGGAGGCAAATCAGGGACATTGCGGTTTATCATCTGCATTAACTTCTAAGCCTAGGCCCACGGTCATATATTACTGACCCTGAATCACAAACTAAGGCCAAAAGTTCAAAATATAGTTATTAAGTAAAGATAGATTGTATTATTATTATATTTTGGATTAAAATAGAGATGTGGCAGGAAATGAAGGGAGAGAAGGATGAGATGGCAGTCCCCGGCTAGACGCAAACCAGGGACATTGTAGTTCAGTTACTGTCTTGTTTTTTGTGTTTTTTTCTAATATTTTTTCAGGGCTTAATGCCTTTATTGTAGCTGAAGATTGACAGGAAAGGTCAGGCATGGTTGTTGTAGCAAGAATTTTAATTTCTAAAATCTTTATATCAATGTTTCAGCAGATTTTGCCTCCTGGATAAAAGTAACAGTTAAATGCAATAATTCTACAGGAGCATACTGCTAAATTACAGTGATATGCTTTCACGGTATACAACTGTCATTTCACAGTGATTTAATGTAAAAGTAATGTAATTTACTGTAAATGCACATACAGTAACAAGCTGTGAAAGTAATGCAATAGTAGCCAGTAATTTACTGTAAATATACAGTCAAATATTTAATAGTGCACCAATCATTCGACTGACATACAGCATATATAGTGTACAGGGCAGGCATTTCAAGGCACTGTGTTCACAGGGAAAACATCTTGTCGCCTTATTATCAGAAAGAAATACATTAGGTTTTCAACTATCCAAATATATAAATCACTTTGAGTTGGAGATATTGACAGTGATTTAGAGGTCTGCAACCAGAATAATCATCACATGTGCGCATTCCCGTCCTTTTCTTTGATGTCCACCTAGCCAGCATCTCACTAGAATGGGAATGTGTTAATAAGTAGCTTTTTTTTGGCATGATGGAAACCAAATTCAACACCTGCGCACCTTATGTCTACGTTAATTCACTCAGGCAGCAAAAATCTCATCAAACAAAAGACTATGACAGCATCACTCCCATTTAATATTTTGCATGTTTAGGGCAAGGCGCCCTTCTTTGGCGTGTATTCTGGCAATTTCATAAGGAGTATACAAAGATGGGATTAATTATAGACACCCTCATTCCCAATGTTTTTTTGTTTTCTTATGATGTTCATATAATTTGTTTAATTCATGTATTTTTAAATTATGTTAATCTGTGTCTGAGGTCCCCCTGTTGGAATGTACTTGTTGTGTTAGTTGTGATAACCTATAATCAATCCCAACATCTTGCCCCAAACGTCCCTGTGGCAATATTAAAATGTTTATAAAAAGTTCTGTCCTAATCTTTTGTTTTATCATTTACACGTTTAGGATTCTGCACCCAGTCTTTATGGTCTTAATGTTGAGTGTGTTACGCCTTATTTCAGACCTCCGCCATGTCCAATTGAACTGCGCTACAGTACTAATACTAAAGGATAGTTTTTTAAAGAAATTAAAGAACTTCTCTAGTTCCACAAAATCTAGTTTCTCAAAGCATGATTTAAATTTTTTTTAAAAAGCGGCACCACCTTGCAGCAAAAGCGCCAGAGATTGCAGTACGAAGTAAGTCATTTAAAACACCACAGGGTTTGAGATTCTGAAGTTCAGTTTTTAAGCCCTCTAAACAAACTCAGATCGATTAGTCCGCATTTATTGTGCGCATATGTGGACACTCCAAACGAGCTCAGGACCCGAGTTTGTGTGGAGGGCTGAAAGGGTGAAAACACCCTGAGTAATGGTTCGCCTCAAATCCGCGTCACGATTCGCGTAATCTGTGCATTGTGAGCACTCCAGGTTCGCCTATACGAATGGCGCAGCGGGTAGTGTTGCCACGTTTTGCGGTCCTTTATGGTCTCCTGGGAGCAGGGCTCAGATCCACACACACAGACCGACACACAGCAGAGAGCACGGGGCTGTTTACTCCAAACAACTCAAATACAAAGTAGAGCAGCGACATTTCCACCTGCTTCATTCGAGGTTTTTGTTTCAGCGCGCTACTATAATCTCATAATGAATAAAGCTGTCTGTAACATTATGTAGCCTAGTTATATTTAATATATAAATATTGGTGTTTAAACTGCATTGTAAGCAGCCCATGTTACCATGTCCACAACCTGTATTTCCATAATATAATGCATAAAACTGGTTTTTCTGGATGACTTCATCCATCTGCATTTGCCTATAGACTTTGTTAAGCACCACAGCAGTGACTACATGTTACATGTTCATAGACATTCTGCTATGAATGCTATGTGCTGTTTTTTTTTACGTTTACAAGTAATTGCAAGCAACACAACACTCTTAAAAAATAGTTAAAGTAAAAAACAGTAAAAAACATAACCATTCATAAACATAACATTCACTTTATGTTTCATGTCCGAAGTGATTGTTTAAAAGGTATCATGCCTCATTATAAATAATAAGTTGATAGATAATAATAATTCCAAAAGTCATGCATACCAACAGAAGCAGGGAAACGGTCCTCATCTTGATTGCACTCTGCTTGATATCCTCGGTTGGATTACTCCAACAGAGTGAAAGAGAACTTGAATAAGAGTGTGCGAAAGACAGCCCACAATGCCTGCAGGCAACAGGTTGACTGACTTCAGTTAACAAAGAGCTGTTTGTTCATGCATGCAGTTATGTGGCATAATAATTGGCATAATTGTGGTGTTTGTACAGTTTGTGTGTAGGATAGGACCAGTTGGAGGCGGGCTTTATGCTCATCTGTGTATTTTCTTCTATATCTGAAAACATTTTGTGAGAGAGAACATTAAATGGGGTTTCTTCCTGTGCTGAGAAACAGAGCTCGGCTCAGGTGTACACCCTGCAGCTCTACAGCTCAAGTTACCATGTCTTATTTATGTCTGGCCTACATCACATGCAAATGCAGTTAAATTTCATAGATCCTTTAAGTATAAGTGACGTTTTAATCCAACAAGTACAATGTACGTCACTCTCGCACTCACTAAACCAGCTGTCAGTCAGTACATTCTGTCCTTTTCCACTTATTCTCTTGTACATACTGGTTATAGGTTAGGTCTAGGTTTGTCTGTAATTTACTCTTGTGCGGTCTGAATGATAGCTCATTTAAAATTGACATAGTCAAAGGATTAAATTACACATAATAAAGCTATTTTAAATCTGATTAGCTCTTTAGATTTTAGACGCTCTCTGTCTATGTAATGTCTTTCAATGTGAGCATGGATTCTTCCAGAGATCATAACACAAAGCATGCAGGCAGTGGTGGCGCCAGGGAGGAGCTAGGTGGTGCTGTAGCTCCCCCTATAATAGCCACAGCAGTTCCGAGCCGGCTGAATACAGTCTGAGCAGCAAACTGGCAGCAACACAAGGCAACAGACAACTTTGTCACGATTCGATCCTAAAAATGCTCAGATCACGAAATCACACAGCCAGTTTACCAGACACTAGTGATATTGATGATTGGCAGGCAGGTGATTGCGCTATGTTGTTTGTGTTATGCATACCATAGAGTGTTTAGTAGCCTATGAGGTAGAAGTCTCAAGTTTGTGCTTTCAACTCTCCAAAATTAATTAGAATCTGTGAATAGCCAATCAGTGAGGGGGTAAGATCGTGCACTTGACGCATAGAATACTGTCACAGTCTTGTTTCCTTCAGGTGTGTGTCTCAGAACTGTGGGATGTTTAGGGAGCAATAAAAGTCGATCCATTTTGGTGTACTGTGTTACTCTGCTAAATTTCCGAAAACTTGCTTTCAAATATAAGCTTGCACATGCGGTTAAGGGTCAAAAGGTTAAAAAATTTCACAGGAATTTCATAGGGCGTGCTGGGCGAGCGTAG